GCCACCACATGTACGAGCGCATTCATGGCCGACGGCGCCTCCAACTGGGGACTCTGGTATGCAGCAGGTTCCGGAGCTGCTGTGGCTCCGGAACCAGTCCTGAGTTTCAAGATGTCGGAGCTTTCCTGGTTAGCGTTGTGGTGGTCGTTGATTCGGTTGCGAAACGGTGAGGCCTCCGGTGTTTCCGGAGCCGATGGTGGCGGAGGCGGCTGCAGCGGCAGCAGCTCTGCTGTTGCCAGTGAGCGCCACAGCGCGGGATCCACCAGCGCACCAGCGACTGCCTTCAGCGCATACACCGCTGGTAGATTGTCGTACATGCCGTACACCTCACCGTGCTGACCTGTTGTGGTGGCGTGGGCGGCTGCTCCAGGGGATGGCAGCAGGAGGAAAGGTGGCGGCGCCGGCAATGAAACTGACGTTGCGGCTACTGCTGTTGCTACTGCTGCTGCTCTGTTGCTGGGGCTGACGGCCCCTCCACTGCTGCTGCTGCTGGTGCTGGCGGAGATGCCGGTGTTGGTTCCGGAGCTTAGGACGTTGGCCAGTGGGTCCTTGGGGCCGGTGGGGACGTGGAAATGGCTGGAGATGTGGAATGCGAGCGACTGGCAGGCGCGACTGAGGAGGCGAGCTTCCCACAAGCGACAGCTGTCGGGATTGTGAGGCAGGCCCTGAGGGGGTTTAGGCAATCCCTGCTGCGACCGCTGATTTTGAGGGGGGCGCGCCTGACGGCTGGCATGGCGCTCCGAAGCCGCTGCGATGCGGTCAGCCATGCCAGCTGGGGCACGGTGAAATTGGAATTGCTCAAGAAGTACGTCTGGTAAGATTGGGTCTAAGGCCTTGGAAATTCCGTTTGCAGCGCAAGAGTTGACATCGGCCCAAGAGGTTTGATTGCGATCGACGAGCGAAGCGGTCACCATGTCATTGGCTACGTTCTTGCTAAATGAAGATACGACTGAAATACCATCTTCAAGCTGACGCGCAGCTGGTGTGCGCGACTCGTCCTCTACCGTCCGCTCTCTACCAGAACTTGTTGCCCTGCCCCTGGCCATTGCCCGTGGAGAAGAAGCTGTCACACTTCGTGGCAAAATTGACAACCTTGAATCAGAAGTATGTAATGAATGCAGCTGATTACTGGTGTTGGGAAAATCACAAGCGACGCCCAGACCTCGCCGCATCCTTGCTGCTTCCTGTTCACAGTTTATTACGCAAAGGACTGCGTCGAGCTAAAATTTAATACAAAAAGATGGCATTGCAAATTAACAACAACAAAAGAACCTGCATAAATTTGCGGCAGCAAGTCAACCAAGATGCAAGTGATCCAAACTATTAGAATATAACACAGATGTTTGTTTAATTCATAAACCAGTCCCATAGTGGGAAGGAATAATGTTATGAGGGTAGGGCTACTGAAAAGCGTTTGTCAGGCAATGTCGTACTTTATGCTAGAAGTCAGGTTTCGTTGAATGCAATACCTGTTATGACTCTAAACCCTATTCAACTTGTTGTTTACCTCACTGACGTATAATTTTGACTCGTCTTGTCACACGGTTACATTCCGCACGACGTCATCATAATAACATCGATGCACATACTTCAGCAGGCGCTGAGTAGATGCCGCAAACACAATGATCTCTGCCTCGTGAATTTATTTTAAGTTCGGTTTCGTGGAAAACGCGCAGCCGGAGGACGGGGCCTGGCCCGCTGCCGGCCTTCCAGCCGACGGAATAGGTATGGCAAAGCAGCTTTATTTGCATTAAGTCGATTGCCCAGCTCTGACGCTGGCTCGCTTGAGCGGCGCACAGCTGATGGCGACAATACATATACCCGCGGAGAACGGCGATGTCAGCTATTCCCACACATTGAAGAAGCTTTTTAAAGTCAATGTTGAGAAACCTCCAGATTATCAGCTGCGGCAGCTTGCACGTTCCTTCGGCCAGACGGGGGCCTCTCGCAGCAGCGTAGTGTCACGTGTTGAAGCAGCAACGGAGAATCATGCAGGCCAACAGGTGCGCAGCGCTTAGTATCACGGGGAGATGATGCCGCCTGGCTGAGTGTTTGCTCTTCGGACTGCGGACTTCGGAACGCACGCGCTTGGTCTCATTCTCCCGCCCGCGGCGCCGCTCCCTTAGCCGCACAACCGCCGTCCAGCGTTCGGCTAGCGATCGGGTGAAATATTTTTGTGGATTTCTTCCCCTACCCCCGGGGGGAGAGGAAAATTTTACCTTCTGCTGAGGAAGTTTTTTTTGGTTCACCCGCTCACTCTTTTTTGTTCACTTCATCCATTTTTTTGTTCACTTCATTCATCCATTTATTCATCCATCCATACATTCATTCATTCGTTCATTCGTTCATTCGTTCATTCATCCACACAAAATTCTTCGTCATTACATGCGGGGTGCAACCCATTGGCGGTGGGGGACCTGGTGCCTCAGGGGCTGAACCCCCAAACCCCTCCCGTACACCCCCCGTTGCCGTTGTTGCTTTTGCCGTGACTGACGTATCTTCAGCTGATGCTGCTGTTTGGATCTTTACTTTCGACACCTGTACACCTCCCTCCCATCCCCCACCCCGCCTGCCCTCCCGGCCTGCCCTCCCTTCCCCGTCTTTCATCCGGTTTTCATGCTGACCCACACACATACACACGAACATACCTACGGACACACACAGATACATATGTATACATACATGGACCGGATGGAGGGGCTGCGAAGTGGCTGCGTTGTGTGGTGGCAGTCTGAGTCGGGGTCGGGAGCACACAAGACTAACCGACTTGTGCTGTGTGCTCCCGACCCTTGCACTGTGTTTCGGCTTTGGCCCCCGGCTCTCGCGGCCCACAGTGTAATCTAAGCCATACATACATACATACATACTTACGTACATACATACATACATACATTTACCCCCGCCAACAGGGCAGCCGCACGCCGGGGGATTCCCCCCACAGTGGTGGAGGGGGGGGAGGGCCGCTGGGCGGTACGAGCTCCAACCCGCGAGACCGACTGGGGCGCATAAGCCC